AGTTTGTTTTTTCTCATTCCATCCTTCATCTGTCTGTACCATGGAACTGTGAAATAGTGTATATATTACAATATTTGTGTAAAACTGGTCTCAGTAATAATTCAAAAGACATGGAAGAACTAACACTGAAAGCATGTGATTCTTTTGTTGACTTATCTGGACATAATGGAATTTGGACAATTTCTAGTTTCTTTTCACAGTTTCTTAGAATCCACTTTTTTAATTAATTAACCCTTTAACTACTATGATGGACCAAAACAGATTTTTTTCCTTTACAATACAAACTGACAAGTGATGTCATCAGAATTGTATGCTGGACAGTAAGGAGAATCACAATGAGATATTGGGAATGAAAGAATTCATTTATTAATTCATAACTGTAGATTTTTTAAGCTTATAGTAGCAGGGGATGATGAAACAGTATTATGATGGTAAACTAAGTTTTTGAAAGGGAACTTTCACTCTTTTAAAAAATAACTCTCAAAATGTTCCATATGTATACTTCTCAATAGATCTAGCTGAAAAAAATTGCCTCACCAAGCAATCTGATTTTTGTATCATTTTCCAAAGAAGGGTCTTACATGCACTTTGAACTCCCTGTGGCCACCATCTTGATAAGCGGGCTGTGCCCTCCAGGCGGATGACATTTTATGGTTGCTCAGTGCACTCTCGGTGTGGTGCTTCACTGTTGTTGATGCTATATTGCTGTTGTCTGAAGAAAAATTATTGTGAGTGTGTCAAGATCTTTCTTATCAGTTGGAGTTGGAGCACTGTTCAAGTGAAGAGAGACAGGAAAGTGAAGTAGAAGGTGAAGAATGTTGAAAGCTGATCAAACATTTCATGGAGAAGGCCTGTGACATATACTCACCAAATTTTTTTCTTGCCAAGAGAGTGGAGGTTCCCTTTAACCTTTGACCATGAACTATGCATTGATTGACTGACAGTGATATACTTTGAATAAATCTTACACACCATAATTATAGATGGTCAGATGTAAGTTTGATACCTGTATGTTATCCAAACTGAATTAATCCTCATGTACTCACAATGAAAATATTAATTGGCAAGATATTTGTTGAAGGAGCAATGAAGCAAAATGTTACCAGTTTTTTTGCGTTGTGTTTTTATAAAATTAATATGAGGTGTGTTTTATGGTTCAATATTTCAGTATTAGTGTTAACTTCATGATTAATGTCTTCTTTTAAATCTGATTTTATTTGCTTTATGTTCTGAATTTCGATATGGATAAGTTGATTTAAAGGACAATTTTAACTTACTAGACACTTTGCTCCAAATCAATAGATCAGAAACTAAATATCAAGGTTGACGTGGAACATGTGAAACTTGCAGATCAGGACACCTGCAGCACAGCTTCAGTTTCCACAATGGATACCACAGAATGTCAGAAGGCATCCATAGTATCAGGTGCACGCAGAAAAAGACGATCTGATACAGATTTAGAAGATGTCCAACCACTTGAAAAGAAAGTCCTGTGTTTAATTGCTATGAATTACCTTCATACTACACCACCAGAAAGCAGGGATGAATGCACTGAGTTTCAGGAATACTTGCTAGACATGAAGGTCCACATCACATGTGTTTCTGTAGGAAGTTTAGTGATAACAGTAAAGTGCAATTCTCTCAAGAGCTTGGAGGAATT